TGACATGTTGACAAGCTGTGAGACATTAAGCATGCTAGTGTCAGTGGATCAGGCATTCCTCTCGTCATTATTAACAGCACTTGACTGGTAAACCTGGCTCAGATTTTATGTTGAGACTTGCTTTCCAGGAAAAGGATGCTACATGACAAATCAGATGGAGCCAGACCACCCAAGATAACACAAAGTGAGGACAGCAGGTGCATTTTGTATCCCCAGGCACCTGTCAGCTCCAAGTTGTGGACTGTGCAGGAGAGGGTAATTGCAAAATAGATAAATTGCACCTTCAGCTGTGGGGCTGAACATGTCGAGGTCTTAAGGGCACTCCTGAACCTTATTACTTGTAGAGCAGCAGCAGCAGATCTCATCTGCCCAAGAAGTATCACCTCCGGAGGCAGAGGGGAACCAGGGAACCAGTGTCTGGGTTGATAATGAGTTTGCTAACCAACAGCTGCACAGCCTATCTGATCCCCTTGCAGGGAATTAAGATATATGGGGGACTGGAGTGCAGTCCCAGCGTTTTTATTTGCTCTTGGCTTTTCTGGTTCTTATCCCTTTCTCAGCGACTGACAAACTGCTGAATCACAGTACAGATTCAATATACAAAAAGTCTGTCATAGTTATCTCTTGTTTTGAGTGTCTTTTTATTGGCCAACTTCACAGTCAGAAATGTTCACAACAAAGATGTATAGACTTACATATATTAACCAGATCTTTTTTGGTGGTGCAATCAGTGTATCTGGCACCAGAATGGCAATTTCAAGGACAAATTTGTGAGTAAATCAAGATAATTAGTTAATTCAAGACTTTTGACCCATCAACAGAAATCTTCATGCTGTTGCTACTGCTGAAAAACAAATTAAGAATAACCATTTCCTTTTATTAACAATTTGTTCTAGCACAGAATCGCAAATCTTCATTAGCTTTTCTTTCACTGACAAATCACCTCAGCAAAGCTTTGTTATGCCCTATTCATAGGTCATTTAAACAATATTATTACTATTATGATATTCTTAGAAAGGTAAAAGAGCCATCCACAGTGTCCAGGGAAAACAAATGGGCTCAGCAGTTGCTGTCACGTTTCCACTGGCAGTGCAAGCAGGATCACAAGAAAATCGAAATCTCAAGACCAAATTTCTTTTGATACTGCATCCAAGTTGAAGAGGAAATATTATGAGCACCTAAGAGGAGTTTCTTTTAATGCACCATCCAGAAGCATTATTTCACCTGACAGTCATTCACAAATTTCCTACCAGCTACATATTTTGCAGATAGAGTTAAATAGACAGAGGTTTCAAACATATTCGGATTCTGCCTATGCAGCCTGGAAAATGAATTTTCCACTTTGTACTGCTGAGAAAAATGTAGGCGCTGTAGGCTATAGTATCATGTTCAGAGGAACAAGGTAGGTAGGATAGGGCATTAGGCACTATTATACTCTAGGGAAGAAAGAGCAGACAGGGGCACAATGGAAGTGCTTCATTGTATTTTAAATGGGAACAGTTCCAAGGATAGGAAAGCCTGTGGTGCTTGTAAAGGATTAAGCAGAGTAATGTGCTTTTTAAGAAGACATAAAGAGGTATGTAATGTGATACGTTTAAGCCTAAATGATTTTTCTAGGAGTCCACAATGAATGTTTAAGTAGGCATGACTTAGGCCTCTGTAAATCCTCTCCGAATAAATAACTTCCATGAAAATAGAGATTCCTTTGACAGAATGAGATGCATATTTCACAACCTATGCAAAAAAGGAAAATCAATTTGAGATACACGAAACTCTTAGAAATAATAAAGAAAATAAAAGAAGATAAAAGTGAATATTCTCCAGAATAATCCAAGCATATATAGGAATACAGCTACCTCCCCATCCATTTTGAGTTGCGAGAGCAGGAAGACAAACAACTGAATGCTTCCCTGCCTTCTATTCAGATCTTCAACTGCTTTTTGTTGCCTTTTGAGAAAGGAAGAGACAATAAGTGGCAGAAAATATCTAAAGTGCCTATGCTTTTTAGGCTGTCTCTTGCTTGAGGTATTTAAAACTCTGCTCTCTCCTCAGGGTAAATCTACCCAGCTGCTCTCTAACCACACCTGATAGCATATATAGCTGTTCACTATGGATGGTATAGGAGCACACAGTAATACATATGTACCTGAGTTATGAGACGAACTGGAGCAATAAATATCAAAACCTGAAAACTTGCAATGGCATGATCTTCCCTTCTTATTTCTCTTGCCTGCCCTGCCCTCCTGCCAGGAAAAGCAGGTCCAAGCGGTAGATTCCCTGATGCAAAATTGGACTACGCAATCATTGTCATTTGGCTGTATTGTATTTTCACTCCCCCAGGTGCCGTTTCCCATGAAGTCACCGGTACAGCAAGCACACAGTCCCGCTGAGCAAGCGGGATGACGTGATGAGTAAATCAGTGGTTCATCCCACTCCCTTCCCCCTGTTTATATATACACTAGTATTAAACTGCTACTTTCCTCAAAATAACAAGAGTGCCAGCTCCACTGTAATTTGTAGAATAAAAGCAAGGCAAAACTAAAGGACTTTTAAGGTATAACAAAAATGTCTGTCAAAGCCTCTTCTGCAACAGCCACTTGCAAAACCCATTTAACCTCGGAGACGGTGCAGCAGGGTATTACAGAAGAGGATGTCCACTACGTCCATAACACCCTTCCTGCACACCTCTCTCCCATGGTGACCCCTCCTACCGCAGTCCCTTCATGGTCATTAGGCAGTCTGGTGGAAATCCCTTTCCCTGTTCCCATTTGGAAGCTCTCGGTATGTCTCAGACCTCACTTGGCACTCCAGGAATGTGTGCTGAGGTAATGGCCTCAGAAAGCTTGGTTAAAACTGCTCTTCAGTCATGCTTTAGTGGTGGTTAATGGTAGAAACAAAATCAAGCACAGAGGGAGACCTGTTGGCTTAACTTGTCCAAGGTTATAATCTGGTTAACAGCTCCGATGTGGCCAGTTAAATTTGTTCAAGACCCCCAAGAACATTATGAAATACATAAATAGGCTGAGGGGACCCATGAATTCTTTCCTCTGAAATATTTTCATTTTTTTGAAGTATGTCACAGAGATTATAATCTCTGCCTCTTATCAGATACTTCTTAAAAAATAATTTTCCTTGCCTAACACTAGCTTTTAACATCACAATCTTCATCCAGCTTTCTTCCTGAGTGGGCCAAATACAATCTCCCTAAAGCTTCTGTGTGAACAGCAACTGGCAAATAATTTTTTTCTGTGTTATTTCTTCCTGTAAGGTGAAAGAAGGGGAGAAACTGTGCATGCACAGGTGGATGTGTATGTTCATTAGAATTGGGCCTGAGCCCTCTGATATTCTAACACTGGAGGGTGGTTGGCTTGCCAAAATGCCGCAGCTTGATTTTTTCAACACTATCATTTGCAAGTGCTTGTTTCTGGGAAGCAGAAGCACAGGAATTTAAAGAACCCAGATATTTCTGGTTTTGTAGGTTTTAAGACAGCAACTGCCATGTTTCCAGGAATGAGAAATCAAAGACTATAATCTGGAATTACCTGCCAGCAAGACACAGTGGTGGGGTTTTTTTTCAGCTAAAAGCCATTAGTCAACACAGCTGTGTTTGACATGCTCTGGATTTTGTTTTTTTTCTGAAACCTTTACTATAACTTGGGAAGGCAGACCAGAAGGAGGATAGCTTTTCTTTTTTAATGTAAAAAGCAAACTCCATCTTTATCAGCCCTTTACAAACTGAGCTAAAATATATTTTCTCAAAAAAAAGCACAATTTCTTCCAGCCAATAGATCTTCAGACTCTTTTTCTTTGCTTTTTAAGCTTACGACTTTTTCCAAGGAGGTTTCAAAAATGCAGTTCCCCAGGGCCTCTCTTGCCTCTTCTTTCATTCTGTTTAGTCCTTCAGAGGAGAATATGTGATCTCAGTTATATGGAAGGTGGGTTAGCAATTTTTAAAACTCCAAAGAATCTTTGTGATTTTATGGTTCTTTTATTATAAAGAGATCACCAGTGAATTTGTGATTCTTTTTAACATAACCTTTTCTCTTACATGGTTGTATCCAGTGTGAAAACACCAGAAATTACAGGTTTTCTTGCCAAATGGATTTTGGTGGAGACAACAGGCAGAGTTTGTCCAGATTTTTAGAAGTCTCTAAACCAAGCTTAAAACAAGTGAACATACAACTTCATAGATATTTGCTCTAATTAGTATCCATATTTTGAATTTTGAAATAAAATCTGTAGAATATGGTATTTCTCAGATTTGATTTGATTTAAAACTCTGAATATAAATATACAATGGTAGGGATAAAGTTTGTATACGGTCACTCATTAACCCATATTCGCACTCATACTGAACCCTTTCCTGTTCTATTGTTATTATAAAAGCCCTAGCTGTAGCTGTCAATCGAAAATATGGGAGGGAACTACTGCATTAACAAATGTACCTATAAAAATTGACTCTTGCTCTCAAAGTATTTTCTCATTGCTAAACTCATTACAGAAGGTGGCTGTGAGACTCTTTATTTAAAGTCAGATTGTCTTTTTCTGCCTGCCTCTTTCAAAAGATACATGAGTCAGAGCTACAACTGAAAGCTAAGATTTTCAGTGCCAGGAGCCTACAGAAATAAGTTAATCAGTGTCTTGTGTTCAAAGTGCTTTAAGCTTTGAACAGTACCTTGCCATGTCTGCTGCGGTTATAAGTCCAGAGATCCTATTCCCATTTTGTATCCTGACAAATGCATTCATCTCTCATACCTATAAATCCTTTCCAAAGCAAACACTCTAGGCACTTACATTTTAAAATGTGGTTGTAAACAAGCTACGTAGCTGGGAAGTCCCAATCCTCCGGACTGATGCAACGGGGTTACAGAAATTGGTACCAGGCATAATCATTATCTGGGTGCAAATGCATCCCTTACAGTCAAAAGCAAAAACTAAGCAAATGAGGTGTTACAGCAGAGCATCTCCAATGGGAAGCAGAAAGTAAGTTGTACCAGTACCTTTTGAATGCCTGCGGTCGACTCCATGACGTTGTTCTCCGAGCCATTACTTCTGTTAATCATCCGCCACATTTGGGAATACATGCTGTCCCTCTCAAAAGGATTCATCCCTTTCACTCGGACGTGCTCATAGACTGCAGAGTCCAAGACGGTGCCATAAGGGATATCTGTCTGCCTTGAGAGATCCTGGAGAGACCTTAATTGTTGGGGAAGAAAAGAGACACAGGAGACTTGAAGCCACATCTTCAAGTGGAAGAAGCTGCAGGCAAGCAAAGAGCAACACATAGGACGATAGCTGTCAAGCCAGTTTCTTTTGTTGCTTTACTACTTTTTGCTTTTTTCTTAAAAGACAAAGTCAGACTGAAAAATTGCTTTTATTGTTTCAGACACAAGGAGGAATATGAAGTAAAAAAAACAGGTGGAAAAAATGAAAATGGATGAAAAGAAAACTACAGAAGGATTAAGAGTGTCCTGTCAAATGCCAGGCTCCTTTCAGCAGGGGCAAAACAGAGAAGGAAGCATTGCAGTCCCTCCAGCCATGTGCAGCAAGTTCAACAGAAGTGGGGCAACTGCCTACAAGAGTATGGTCCCACCACAATCCCACTGCTGGGAAGCAGGATTGTTAGCACCAGAACTCACCAAATCTACCCCAGAGCACCTGGGCTGAATATGTCTATGTGCTACTGGGTTACACAGGGAAGAACAGCTTTTTGGTGGTATTCCTGCACTGAACTGCACCCATCACAGAGGTCACATCCTACACTATTTTCAGAAACAGCAAGATTTCTGCTGTGAATTCATCAACTGCCTTTCCATCACAGTTCATGTTATTTAGTTCAATAAATGTGTTCTACTTTACATATCACCTAGTCTTATCCATTCCCTATAAACAAGAAAAATTATCCACCTTAGAAATTTCTAAAACATTCCAAATATGGTTTTGTCAACCCTGTTTTGGACTTTAAAAGGTATATTAGAACCCTTTAATGTCTTCTTACCTCTTGGGCTTTATTTTCCTGTTTTCCTTTCCTATACCTTTGGTTCTTTAATGGCATTCATTAAAGTTTCAAAATAACTACTGCAATATGTCTACTGCTAAAACCCACTACAGCTTTCCTGGCACAAATTAACTTTGTGTAAACTTCACAAATCTAATGGCTGACACCTAAGGACAGATCAAGGGGCTGTCTTAAAATAGACAACAGCAAACTGTAAAAGCTCAGTGTAGCCACAGAAAATGCAATCACAAGTGTAGGAAACTAATCAAATTCCAAGCTGTGTTTTTGGAGGAGATCCCTGACCACTGGAGAAAGGAAATGTTCAGACTATATTCAAAGAGATAAAAAAGTTGATTCATGGAATTAAGGCTGGCCATCCAACATGATGGAGTGAGTCCTCTCAGAGCACATTTCTGAGCACATGAAGGAGAACAATCTGACTGGGAGCAGTCAACAGCGATTCACCAAAGGTAAGTCATGCCTCACCAATGCGGGTGCCTTCTACAGTAAAATCACTTGGTCTGTGGACAAGACTAGAGAAATGGATATAGTTTACCATAACTTTAGCACGGCTTTCAATACTGTCTCCTACAATATTCTCTTATCCAAATTAGGTAATTAGGTGTAGCTGGGTGGGAAACCAGATGAAGAAATTCCTGGTTGGATAATCATGCTCACAGGGCAGCTCACCTGGAGGCTGGGAACAGGTACTACAGAGGTCTAACCTGGGACATGTCTTTACCAATAACCCGGGGGAGGTGAGTAAGCACCCTCTTGTCAAGTTTGCAATGGCAAGACATTGGGGGACCAGCCGATTGCTCAAGGACAGGCTGCCATTCAGGTGGACCCAGAAAGGCTGGAGGAATGTGCTGAGAGGACTGGTGTGAAATTCAGCAAGGACAAATGCAAAGACCTGCACCTGAGGAGGAATAACCCCCTGCAACAACCCAGCCTGGGGGGCAGCTCTGCAGAAAGGCACCCTGGTAGGCAGCGGTGGCCCTTGGCTCTGTTTCACCATCAGGTAAAGTGTTGTGTAGAAGTAGGTGTATTACTGTGGCATTGACAGTCTGTCTATCCGACAAAAGCATCAGTGATGAAAGGCACTAGATAAATACAACATCCTATATTCATCCATTTTGTGTTACTGCTGCTGCCAATACACTTCTGTATCTCCTGGCAGTGCTCAGAAGTGCAACAAACTGCCACAGGATGCATATTGTAATGTCCTGTAATTGCTGTGTTATTTGTCATACATATTGCTAGAAATACATATAAGAAGTATTTACAGAGTCTCCAATTTCTAGTGACAACACCTAGCAAAATTGCAATCATTACTTTGCAAGACTTTGTAGCCATATAATTTCCTATACAACAAACAGCAAAGCATATTTCTGAAATACTACTGCTAACAGTTATATAAATGATATGTGTAACTGCTGCCACAAAACAGTACAGTGAGAAGCTGCACAAAAAGAAAACAGCTCCTCTGTATATCTTGTGGCTATAAAAACAACCTTGCTATTTTCAGAAAGGCAAAGCAACATGAGACATGAGCTGTTAATCCTGAAGCATACTACCATCAGGTATGGGAAGTGTACTACAAACACTCTGAGAAGCAAGCAGGAGTGCCGTCACACGCAAAGGCATCACCAGCAGGAAAATAACAAGCAGGAGAATTATGTTGCTGCCTTCAGGAAGGCATGTTGTAGCTGCCAAGTCTGGCATTAACTACAGTCTGCAGGTCTCTGCTGTTTGGTGTGCTATCCTAAAAGCACAGGATGCCTCTCAGCTGCATCTTTTCACAGTTGCAGGTGCTGCTCTGTGCTGAGAAAGAGATGTCAAGAGGACAAGAGCAAGACAAGTATGAGTGTAAACTCTATGGACACACTAAATGCTGCTGTCAGCAGCAAGCCTCAAGCTGTGGTTTCACCCGGCTCCGTGCTGAGGAGGAAGAAAGAAGTTCTGCAGCCTTTGAGGTGTTCATGTGTGTATGCTGCTGCATAGGAAAGCTGCAAAAAAGGGTAAGCCCTATCACATCGGTGACTTCATCCCCTCACACAAACATGTCAAATGGGATCATAATATACATGACCTCCTTCCAAAACTGGTTTTTATAACCTGCAGCTCTGCAGAATACTGGTATGATGTTCACAGCCTAGCAGCTGTGAAACAGCAAAACAAAAAGAAATGACAAACCTTGACAGAACTAATAAAATTATTAAATCATTGAGGTTCCTTTCCAGAAGAAAGAATTTTTGTAACTACTTTGCCTCCAGCCTGGTTTGTAGCTTGCACATTGTTCAATGTTCCTTTATTCCTGGATTAGACAACTCATTCTGTGTTCAGACAAACACATTTAATGGAGGCATAAATCCTCAGCCTCACTACATCACCCAGTTTCACCACACAGCTATCACACCAGATCTCAAAATAAGTAAAAAATATTTGTCAAGCTGATTAATTCCTAGGGGGTAATCTTTGATGCCCAGATTCTGACACTGTTATCCACACTGGATGGGAATTTAATTTTGCAATAGTTTTACTATGTCAGTTGAACTACCTGCAAAGTAAAGCACACATCTAAGATGAGTAAGGGAATTATATTCACACGTTTTAAAACACATATCTCTTTGTATTCCTAATTTTAAAGCAGTAAGATAATGATTGATAGAAATTGTTTAAAATATTTTAAAAAGCAGATATAGTTGAAAAAAATTATAAATTGAAAAAATTGTTATAAAATAATATACTTTTAACTGAGCTTGCACATAGACAAATTCTACTTGTAGGGAAGTGACCATGCAGTCAGGTCATAGCTCATCTTAATTTTGGTTATCACTTATGAAGAATTGTGGGGAAAAATGTTCTTTATGGTCAGTTTTTTTCCTCCTTGCAATTACTGGGATAATACCAATACTATCCCATACAAATTACCTTCAATGTAGGGCTCTTCTAAGAATGAATTGAGTCCTTGAGTTATTAACAGACACATGTATTTTTCAACATTTGTTGATTTTGTTTAGTATTCTGCACCTTAATCAGGCAGCGGTTGTCAGGTCACCTTCATTTTCTGGCTTGGTAAAAATTAACTTGTAATTTATAAAACTATCTCTACTTTCAACTTGAAGTGAAAAAAAAGTGTATTAGGATTTGCATATGTTTCTTTCCCCAAGTATACCCTCTTCTATAAATTCAAATCCTAGACTTAGAATTGCTCACATGTTGTTCATATATGTCAGACAAAACTGTTTAAGAAGTACACTGAAAATCTAGAAAAACAAAAGGTCAGCTCTATAAAGGGATACCTAAGTTCCTTTTTAGGTAATTAAATACCACTGAGGTCAGAGGCTTGGGCATCATAGTATCTTTGAAGGTCTGGGTTACAGATTGATTTATGCTAGCTGTGTTGTGTTGCACAAAACTGCAAGAGCTAGTCACTAAATTTTAGGAGAAAATAAATTACACTGAAGTCTTTATTTATGACTAATTCATATAAAGCTTTCCAATGTCTTTCCTACCCCCCCCGCCCAGGACACTAAGGATTAATTCCTAGGCAGGTTTAGGGAACAGGGCACAGTAAGCCAAGAGATTTGACTGTTGGCAGTTACAGCTCTGTCAGAAACCAGTAATACTGCTTGCTAGCCAGTTTGAACATCTGGGTGAATCACAATAAATGAAAGGTAAAAGAACATTCTGTTTTTCAGCATAAGGAAATATCTACTCTGATTGCCGCAGTCTTGTGTAACCCTGCTATTGCAGAAAACTTGTAGGCAGTTGCATGTCGCTGTTTAAAGCCTTGGGGACATCTTAGTTTCAAGTGAATCACGGTTTAGGAAAAATATTGTGAAAAGAATGACTAGGCAAAACAAGGATGACAAAAGAGATGCATTACTGTTCTGTCTCCATTATTCGGAGGCAGACATCTCATCTATCAAATAGGACATACTACTTAGAACATGGAGAACGTAATGTGAACTTCTTATTTTACAGAAAATGCAAGATGCAGACTCTCCTCTGTAACGTGTACAATCTGAAGTCTTAATCAAGCTTCTAAATTTTTGGCAGTAGATTAGAATTAAACTTGAAACCACCTAACACCGGCCTCCCATGCGACAAATCCTTTGACTTACCTTCTGCCCACCCCACTTCCCCAACTTTCCTGCAAAATTTCAGTGCCTGTGAGAAGATGGCGACTCCCTCCCTGTACCCGGGAAAACAGTGCAGTGCAGTGGTCTGAGTAAAATCAGTCTCTACCAATGGACTCTAATTCTGTCCTAAAAGAATCATAAAACACAGTAATAGCAATGCTGGCTCAGTGATGAAATTCACAGTATCAGCACCTATGAGAAATAGCTTGGGACCTTCAAATTTTTTTGGCATTTATCAAGAAAAGCCACTCATTATTACTAGTCAACCATGTTACATCTGAGACAGTGACTTAAAGATTTAAGGAGCATAGAAATTATGCTTTGCTGCCACAATGTTTTGGCATTTGAAATGCTGACTGTCTTGATTTAAATGTCATCTGCAACGTGGGTCAAGTGTGAAAAAAGATGCACCTAGGAACAACTTTACAACTCGCGTGCCTCTACTCCTAATATCGCCTGTTGGCAGAAAATGAGAAGCTGAGCTCTCAAAGGTATTAAGAGTAGCCATTTGTCTGGAAAAGGAGATTAACGTCCACTCTTCTTCTTCCTCTAAATTAATTTAAAAATTGTAACAATTTGATCCAAATTAATCAGTGAAGCAGAGAAAAAATGTCATCAACTTCAAGAGAGGTTATACAGCAAAGATCTACTCGGAGACTCTCTAGGCAAAAAGGAACATTTCACTAGTCCTCCCTAGTTCATTGCCTAACAAAATTTTGTATGCTTTTCTTCTCAAAATAGCCTTCTGGATACCATGAGGCACCACTAGGAAGACTGGCCCAACCTTCATACCGGCTGAGATAGGGAAGCTGCAAGAGCTCTGAACACAAACTGGCTACACATCCAAAGGCTGAAATGCAGTAACTACCAAAATGTTTCATGGAAATGAAACGTGCTCTGGGCTGCTTGAATCCTCCTATCTTTCATAAAGATATCACAAGGACCATAACTTCCACAACACACTATAATGTCTGATGCTAGCTGGAAATCTGAAATGAAAACCTATTAACTACTTGCTACATCTGTGCAAACCCACTGACTTAAATATCTGTCATTTTTCTGACTGCTCTGAAGCTGGCTGGATAGCACTACAAGCAAAATCTGGTTTATTTTCCTTAAATACTTAAACTCATTTCGATTCTGGCCTTCAAAGCTCCCCAAGGTACAATTTGATCTGTCAGAAGAAAAAAATAAGAGCATCAGCTTTTTTCTTTATTGCTTATTCATGTTTCCCACTTTGCAGTAATTCAGCATGGTAAACAAACAGCTTCTCTCTTATGTGCTGGTTTGAGTTCCAATTTTGGCAGTTTTGTAAACTAAAGTTTTACACTCCCACCGTAGTTAGGATAACTTCATTCCCTAATGGATACTTAACACATCTAATTACTCTATTTCTGAGCTGCAAGTACTGTTGAAAAATGTCTCCGTTATTTCATTCCAGGAGCTTTCCAGCTGCAACATTTTCTACTGAATAAAACATTTTCAGTGACTTTGCCCATAAATAATACAGCACAAAGACCAATGTAGTCCCAACTGTACATAATAACCTCAGAATTCCACTGAGGGTTTTCTAGTGACATCATAATAAACTGCAAGAAAAAGCTGAAGATGTATTAAATTATAGTTTGGGTATATTTTATTCTTTTTACACATGATAAGAAACCCAGACATTTGTCACAGTAATTTGATCATTTTTCTAGACTACTTCAAAACTAGAAGGGACATAATTTCAAAGCAGGATGCAGAAGCATATTTCGTATTTGTGAGGACAAACTGAATGACTGAATATATCACTGTTATTTATTTTGCACGTACAAATTCCCATGTTGTTTCTTCATGCTCCTAAGTCAAATGCAAAGCTTTATAAACTCAAAAAAACATAATGCATCCTCCCTCAAAACCTCAAGAGGAATGTTGACAAGCATTGACGCAGAATATCATTTTACTCCCCTATGAATTGTGAAGGGATTGTAATCGGGAGTACTGAGTCAAACATTTTGGTTGGTGTCAAAATACTCTTGCAGCACTCCATGATCTTGAAGTCTGCTATTCAGGTCTCAAAAGAAAATAACTGGATTTAACTGGTATTACAACTGTATCAGGGGAATGATTTGCTCCTATGATTTTAGTCCATTTTACATGTCTCTGTCTTAAGAGTGCTTAGCACTCTAATAGATGAACATGTTGAGGATGTTATCCCAGAAAGGGAGGATAACACCCATAGATGCTTCATTTCCAATTGGGAATGAATGAGGACTGGTAATGCCTGGGCAATCTGGGCCATGGGACACCAAGTTCCAAGGAGCGGGGAGAAAAAGAAAGGGTTTATGAAGCACAAGACAATGTTTCTAATAGGGAGAGTCAGGAGACAACCATGCATTCAAAGTGAGGAACTGCTTCTGCTCTTGGGTTTGAGCTTTGGCTTCCAATTGCAAATAAAACTTGACTGCTATTGCAGATAGTTGCTTGTCCATGTGATGTTAAAGCCTGGATTGGTTTTAGTGTGTAGAAAATCCTCATATAGAGGAAAAGTACCTTAGTGAGATCATGGTGACTGGCTAGCATGCAGTGATACTTGAACCTAACCTATGAATTCACAGGAGGCCAAGGCTCCCTCTCCCTGGTCTACACTAGTGGCTCACTGTTTCAGGGGGCATTTTAAAGAGATTTGGAAAACCAGCTGAACTGAAGGCAGCAAGACCTTAGCTGTGATACACAGAAGACAGGGACTTGAATCAACAACTGGAGAGAGAAAACTGAATTTTCCCTAGGGTTGGCACTAAGCCTGACTTGAAGGTCAGGTTCTTACCTTTCTGGAGGAAGAAATAAAGCAAAACGTGCCTCTCTTCTATAAATCCACTCAATCAATTTTTCAAAAAAGGATTTATGGGAACAGTTAACTTTGTCACTCTCACATACTTTCATGGACTTGTAGTCTTAAGATTAAAAACTTGCTACGGAAAAACAACCAGCTGCCCCTTGGAGTGCTTGGCTAGTGAATGCTTCTCTGTATTTCTAGTCTCTGCTTTGACCATAGAGGAAGGATTTGGGGGTGGGAGAAGTCACTGGAGCAGCAGGAGCAAAGATAACTCAGCATGCAGCTTGCTGAAGTAGAGGAGACTGGAGAACTAAAGGACAGAGAGAGAAATAGTAGGGGACCTAGAAAGGTTTCTGTGTTACAGAGAGATGAGATGATCTGGAAAAAAAGGACTGGAAGGCATGACAGAAAAACAGTTCACCATAAAAAGAACAGGAGAAGACAAGGACATTCATGACATTCCCCATACACTGAAGAAGCATTGGGCTCCTCCTGATCAAAGTGTCAGAGCACACTGGGATGCATTTGAATGGAAAGCATAGCCTGAAAACACACAGCAACAATTTCTACTTTCCCATTTCAAATATGGATACACTGGTTATCTCAAACACAATTGTTTCTTTCAAAATATGTATGTGTGCATACAGATATATGTATAAGTGTCACAGATGAGTATCTGCAGAGGCCAGCAATTCTGATCTGAAAGACAAAGTGTCTCCAGGGAGAATGGCAGTCTACAGTATATTGTTATATTTTAGCTTCCAAGCTACTTCTCAGGACGATAAAAATTTCTTCATTTTCTCACATCTAAGTAGAACATTCATACCCCTCTACATGTATATATATACACATTCACCCTCCTTTCCCTCAATTCATTCTTCATCAACTTACTGGATGGAGTTCTCAATGCGTGTGATGGTGAGGAAAGCTGCTAGGTTTGCCGTGTAGGAGGAGATGACAATCAAAGCAAAAAGCCACCAAGCTCCCATCATCAGTCGGGTTGCCAGGGTTGTGTATGGGACCTCTCCTCCTGTGGGAAAGAAGGAAAAGCAAGAGTTTTCATCTGGCAGAGGGAAATGCAGATGCTCATTGCTCATGTATTGCTCAGGAGAAATAGGCCCCAAGGTCAACAGGGTAAAGCAGTTTACTGAAAAGTAAACTGAGCAGGAATTGGAGCCACATGTTCTATATAAAGAAAAGTACTGAAGGAAGCCCAGACTGTCAGCTGTCATTACTGTATTTAATCTCTTTTGCTGTTCTGCCTTTAATTACAATTAATCTGCCAGTCGTGTCCCATAATGGAAACAGACTTCAAGATCTCAGAACAAAAGCAGCAAAAGTAAATTCTTACAATGTTCTTTTCTTAGAGATCTTATCTACAAACCTTAATTAAGTTGTTCTTGCATTCTTGAGAACATAAAGTTAAAAAACCCCTCATCAAAACACAACTACTTTTCACAGTTCTGTAGGCAGGCAGATGCTTGTGACAACTGTATATATGTGTACAGCTCGGTGCAGGTGAACTTGGACATACAAAAAAAATAAAATCACATATACTGAATGGAACATTGTTTCGTATTCCCATAGTTGCTTTCCTTTAAAATCCAACTGCAGTGTAAGCTAAATAGTTAGTAGCCATTTAATTTACCAAGATGAGCTGCACATCACCATTTCTGTGACCAGAGCCCAGTTTAGCAAGCCATAAAAAGCATTATTTTTTATTTAAATAGCTGCCCCAAAACAACATATTTGAAAGAGCTCTTGCAGTTAAAAACATTTGAATCACATGTTTTTAGACAAAGGAAAATTTGTTGTTTTAAAAATACTCATTTTGTCTGAAGTATAGGTTTTGTCACAGCTACAAGTAGCTAGGGGGGGACAGGCGAATGCCGCAATGTTGACTCCCACAGTCAGCTGCTCAGAAAGTCCACTCTTTTCCTTTCCCCCTATACTCAGGAACTAGAAAAGCTGTCATCATTATTAAGGTAGCTTTCTCAGATGCAAAATCGTACGATGGTACAATACCTAGGATTTGCAAAAGGAATTTGCTACAGATTAAATAATCTGTAAGTATTTTGCGCTGGATCTTCACTTATGTAAAAACTCCTTCATATTTCCCCAGTAAGCAGGTTTAAAGGGAATACTATTATTCCCATTCCAAGTAGAAAAAAATTTCAGTGATGTACACAGACTAGATATTTAATCAACATTTGAATATAAAGGATCACCTTACTGTTTTGTTCCTACCTATACAAAGCATTGGGAACTCTGCATCGCCATACAATAAAAAAATTGAACCTTTTTTCCCTATTTCTGTGATGTGAAGTTGTACCATATGTGAAAAAATAACTGATTCCATTCATTTATATTTTTGGTATATAAGTATTGGAATCCTTTGCCTTTTACGAATTCCAGTATTGAAAGACAAAATCTATCTTAGACCTGTGCAGTCAGAAGTAAATTTCATGTTATTTCCAGGATGCCACGTAATTATCTGAACTAAGAATCTACTGATCAGATTGGGAGATATTCTTACAATATACGGACTTTCAAAGATGAACATTAACTTCAACATCTGAAGATTTGATTTTCTCTCCCACATAAATTTTAAATTATTTTTAATAGAATATTTCTACTTTACAGCAGTTTTTGCAATGCCTTTGAAATACTTCATTTAAAATGACTTTTTAAGAAATGAAAAGAGTAGACAGCTATATAAATTTATTGGAAAAGGCTGTTTGTCCTTCTAACTTTCAGGTGCCAATCCCTGCAGATAATCTTCATAGTGAATTGAAATGGGTAGAGTGACAGAGAAGCCAATGATCTCCTGGACGTCCTTGCATTTTCATTTTTCAGCTTAATGAGTACAACTTTACGTTCTCACATTTTTTTTCTTGAAATGAAATGCCAAGAAAGAGAGGACCACTGAAAGTCACACAATTGCCTTCAGGTTTTCAAGTGAGGATGCTGCGCAACAAGTGACCACGAAGCCGTCACAGACCCCTCAGCCACAGCATTCTCCTACTGTTCACACAGTGCAGTTTTCCCCATACATCGCTAGGGTTGTCTTCACTGTTGACTGTCACCTTTTCTTTTTTAACACCCACGTTAACAGACTTTTAAAAGTGCTGGCCATCTCAAGTGCATTTAGTTCACCCAGGTGTTTGTGAAGTCTTGCTCCTAATTCACAGTTGTACCTTGTCTATCAACCGCATCTCCCCCTTGTACCAGGGGAGGTTTAGATTGGCTATCAAGAAAAATATCTTTACTGAAAGAGTGGCCAAGCATTGGAATAGGATGCCCAGGGAAGTGCTGGAGTAATCATCCCTGGAGGTGTCCAAAAAACATGTAGATGTGGCACTTTGGGACATGGTTTAGTGGGCATGGTAGTGTTAGGTTGACAGTTGAACTTGATGATCTTAGAGGTCTTTTCCAACCTTAATGATTCTATGATTCTATGAATAAATGAAGTTTGAGGACAAAGCTTGCATCCGAATACATACAATAAATACATATCAACATAATTATTCACTTCTGCCCCTACTTTAAAATCTTTGCACTGATGCTTCTTAAACCAACATTTCTAAAGCACGACTGACACAGCAACTACATAGGCACATGATTTTTAAGCAGTACAGGCAGGGTACTCCACCTCTCTCAGTGAAAGAAAGAAAGACAAAAATAAAAGGAGATCTTCTACTGCTATAGTATCATTTATTTGGCATCTATTAGGCGACTTAATGCAATACAGTCTTGTTCTATAGTACAGTTTTTTAAAACACTTTCTGCACCATGACAGCTCACCTTACAAAACCTCTTCACTTTCTTCCCCAATTTCTTTTTCTATGGATAAAACTTTCCAGAGTTTTCTTTCAGTCCAAATTTACATGTTTTTGCAGTGCAAAGGAGAACCAAGTCTTTCAGGAGAGCAACATTCTTTGGTTTTCCACTAACCTTACCATGAAAAAGAGCTGCAGACCTAACAGTTGCTTTATTGACTATAAATTAGTATGCAAAAGGGACCTGCATGTAAACCCCCCTGGACTCTCCTTCCCAGTATCTAGTATGAGTTTCAGGTGCATAGATATCTTTATGGACAACAGCATATTCTTGTTATGAAGGGCTATGCACAGGACACTCAGTGTGAGGGAGGAGGGAGCCAAGATGGTGAAACAAGTCTTTCCCTGCTGTTGTCTTTCATATCATACTAGCAAAGCTGCATAACCCATAATGGCAAAGGGGGCCACCTGATGCAATGTAAAGATGCATTGGTAACCAGAGCAAAATCCATCTCACCATGCCTCATGCCTATAGCAAAATTCATCAATGGAAGTTAACATGCTGGTCATGGTTAAACTGAAAACACTACTGTTGTAGCACACGAAGCAACACTTAAAGATACCCAGCTTCACTAATGAAACAAATGAAAGTCAAAGATGACATTTAGCAGTCCTGGAGTTGCTTTGTCACCTTAAGAGACAGACCTCAACTGAATACAGAGGCTCTATTACTCTTTAGACTTGGCTCTTCCAATGCAGCACAAGATGCCACTACCTGTAGACCCCCTATATTGTGGCTACAGCTTCTAGTCTAGTTCAGCTGACATTTCTGATGGGTACTAAAAATCATTTAAAAGTCTAATCTGCCTTTAAAATTTTCAGATTGCATGTGCAGGAAGGAAAAGATATTTTCCAGAGTAAACTGAACTAGCAAAAAGCAATCTCATTGGGAGTTTTCTGAAAGAGCTGAATTACTGTAGAAGTGACAGTGAAAGCAATTACTTTTAGTCCTCCCACTCTCATCTAATGCAGCTCTCCTTCATCAATCCTAGACCAGTTTAATGCTGGCCTACTTCAGATGACAGGCTTAGACTGCAACTTATCTTACGAATTTTTGTTTATTCCCATTTCTTTCCAAGTGCTTCAAAGTAAATATCAGCAGGCAAGAAAAATAACTCATCTCTTGACAATGCAAACAATCTAATATATAATTATGACAGACCTAAGTATCGGGAAAAACCCACCTTAGGAGATACAATGTGAACCTATACAATTCCTATACAGATTTCTAATAACTTTTAAGTCACTTCTTGTGAGCAGTAAGTTTAAAGGTTTCTTCAAGTTGAAAATTGCAGAAGACAATTATAGGCAAAGAGGAGGAATGAAATAATGAGAAAAATGGGCAAAACAGGGACACTGAGGATCACAGCCTGGTGAGATCTTGATATTGTGTAATTCCACACTAAATGGATAGGCTGTTTCTCCAAACATCTCAGGGCTTTGTCAGTTGTTTGGTTGAAGGAAAACTGTGTTCATTTGAGTAGTCCAGAACTATGAAAGTGTTTCAGATAGAAATAGAAAAAAGATTTTTTTTCTTTTTTTGTAGACAAAGAGAAATGGTGAAACATTTCTTGCAGAAGTTGTAACTACAGTTGGCATTTCTGAGATCAAGTCTGGTGGCAGCCATCTCGTTGAGAAGTGATGTAATTTTTGTTACTAGTCATCCAGGCAGTAAATGTGCAAGATAAGGTCTCTCTCTGATTTAATATTGATTTAACAACTTCACTGGGAATGCAAAATATTTATAAATAAAATAAATTTGTTTAACAGCTCAAAAATAATTTTTTTACCATTAGTAAAGCAAATAGCCTCGCAGCATAGAGCACACAATATTGAAAAAACTCAGAATTGATTATACAGAACAATAATGCCTTTTGAAAATTAATTATTGATATGTAATTTATAAAGAAATACACACACACACACAGAAAAGCCATAAACCACCATTATTCTATGTCCTGAGTTTGGTAACTTTACTAAATGATGTTTCTCGGGGGAGTTGAGAGTTGGACTGGGAGTGTGCTGCAGCTACTCTATATGTGAAGAGAGCAGCTTAGATGAGAAGGCTCTGTCCTTCTCCTACAGGAAGCACACTATGAGGATCACAGCTTGCAACTTCTGTTTCATAGAATCATAGAACTGTTTCTGCTAGAAAAGGCCTTTAAGATCTTTGAGTTCAATCATGGATCCA